AGAAGTTCAAAATATTATTGTATTTCACAATTTTGAAAGGTCAGTCATGAAATCAGATCTCTATGCTTTTAGAGATATGGGTCTGTGGATACTGATTTCTGATTGAACCATTGTCTCCTAGACTTTCCACATCCCAGAGGGATGGGTGTTGCTTGCCTTATTCTGTTTCTACCTTGGAATTTAGTAGCTGCCTGCTGTGTGGGCAGTCAACAATGGCTTATTAAATGAATGAACCTCTGGCCGCTTAACCTGGCTAACTATGCTTTTTGCAATTCCTTATAATTTAACATATTTAAATATTGTAATTATGTTTCTTACTAGTTTTATTTAAGGTATTAAAAATCTGGGCACTCAGGTATTCTGTTCATAAGTGCACACGATCATGTATGTCTGTGCTTGTGTATTTTTTAATTGGGCAGGTGCATTTTATACTTCAGAATGGTTGTAATGACCTGCAAGAGACTTTGGTGGCACAACTTCAGTGGCCCTGCTCTATGCAAAACCACCATGGCCTTGAGTGCTGCTGCTGTCCCTGATTTGGCTTCCAGAACAAAGAGAATAGGGCCTTGTCCATGAGACTGTATAATACACAGTCAGACTTGACGTAGTGATAATGGACCTACGGACGGTAGTGGGAAAATCCAAATCTAAGGATAATTCTGAAATCATACTGTTTTGGGAATGTAATTTTAAGTGTGGATATCTGATGTTCTAAAGGTGAAAAGGCTTTGAAAAATTTTTGAAAGCATTTACAAGAATGAAATAGTATTTAAAAACATTTGTCAGTACAGAGAAGAGAAATTGAAAAGTTGCTTAGCTCACACACCTAACCCTCTTCTTAACCCTTCTCTGCTATTTACCCCACCTCTCCTATTTATCTTACCTTAATGACAGCAAAGCTTACACTACCTTCCCTCTAAAACCTGGCCAGTAAAGTGCTTATAGAGAGCCTGGCACAGGAGAAGCACTTGCTGTTGTTGCTGCAATTATTTTCATGATTTGGGGGTAAAGGAGAGTTTGCCTCAAAAGGCCTTCTGGCATAGGCTAAGAAATAGATAAAAAGGTTCACAACTAAACAATGAAGAGAAGTAAGAAATCAGAAGACTTTGTTCATGTTAGTTATAGCCACAGCATCAAAAACTCGGTAATACATACATGCATTTATCTACCTTTGTTTTCACTTATTTACTTTTTTTTGCCATACTGAAGTCTACATACATGTAGTCAAGAGCTGATCACACAGAAAAATTATTTGGGCTCAGCTGATGGTAGCTAAATCAAAGACTTCACCTATAGATTTCGACTTGTTCGTATTTGAAGATCTGGAAGATCTTATAATCTTAAGACTGTATGTGCTACTCAGTGGATCCTCCTGTGTAGATGAATGAAAGACACCATGCTGGCCCGTGAAGTCTGTCTTTTAGGAGGTAGTCCAATGCGGCCTCAGCAGGTTAGTGTCACCGATAGAATCCTTGGCAGTGCAGCGCTGCATACGTTGTGCATTCTATACACACATGCACGCACACACGGAGATGTCATGGTGCCCCTGTGAAATGGAATCCTTCCTCCTAATACCTCACTCTGTCCCTTATAAATAGAAGAAAAAACTGAGGACAGATTTATATAATACTGACTAACAAAGCCAGTTGTAATGTTAGTAAATACCATGAAACTGTCTTATGGTTCACACTCTCTGTTCACTTTCATATTCTAGTAGAGGCCACACAACTTCTTAAGAACCAAATGCTTTTAAGTCAGAAACTGTACATTGTATTGTAAATGTAGCAAGAGGAGGTGATGTGTGTCTCCTGTAAACTCTGCTC